AGATCTTCTAAACCAAAGGGAGATACAGGTAAACGACCAAGAAAAGCAAAGGCTCACACTGCACAGGTGATGAGCTTCAGCCTCCACCCCTGTCGGCATCACTCACACACTTTCCTCATTTAGCTTGAGATGGAAGCATACGAATTATGCTCCGGAGCCTGCTGCCAAAGTCACAGTTTGGGTTCCAAGGCAGATCTGTGCATGTCAGGCCAACAGCTCGAGCCCTGCCATGGTTTCCAACCTCACACCATGCCCTCGGTTGCTCCCTCCCAGGCTCGTTCCAGCCGCTGGAGACGGTGCAAGCCCACAGAGCCCCGTGCCTCGGGAGGCAGCAGCGGAGGGACAGCAGGGCAGGCCTGCTCATCCAACATGTTATAACAGATTCATCACAGCGCTGCCAGCGTCAAACAGAATCAATTTTCCAGCTCTGTTAGAGGCGAAGGCCACATGCAATGGACTAAAGAATGGCAGCAAACAAGCTGCGGACAGGAGCTTGGTCTGCCCCTCAGGGAAGCAGGCATAACACCAAACAAAGCCAAGGAAGCAGGACAAGAACTGCACAAGGAGGTCTGAAGTCTCACGTGACACGGATCATATCAGGGTTCAGACAGAAAGCTCATTCTGGTGGGGATAAAACGCAGAGAGCAGCCATGGGCTATGAGCTAAAGCAGGGAGTCGGGGCCTGCGTTGCCAGCAGATGCTCCCAGGGCTACCGCACAAGATCCACAACAGCAGTAGGGACAGATTTCCAGCATCCCCTAAATCCCAACCGAACCTCCCCTCCTCATCTTCCTCCAAACCTATCAGTAAACAGATAACAACATGAAACACTGAGATTCCTTGTAATGTCCAGCATTGTTTAAAATAAAAAAATGAAACAGAAAAAGTTCATCCCTAGCTTCCTCCAGCCCTTTCAAAAAATAAGCTGGGTGTTTTCATTTACTTTCACAAGAGACTCCAAAAGAAAAAGTATCACTAAAAATACACAATTCAGGAAACTTCACAGGAGACAAAGATTACATCATCTTCACATGTAACACAGTTCAAATAGCAAAACAGACTTCCTCTCTCTTTTTTTGAAGCCTGATGTTTGAGTCAGTATTACGGTACAGACTACCAAACATGCTACCCCTGCACAGTGCAGCACAGCCCAGCCTAACTCTGCCCAAAGAGTATAGACAAAAAATCACTTAAGAGTGGATTAGACCATGTTCAAAATCAGGTGCCTACTGCCCGCAGGGTACTTGTAAAAAAACTCAACCTAAATTGATCCACATGATGTTTTTACTCTGAGCTCAGACACCCACATCCCCAGGAACTATTACATGGCCGGCTTTGACATTTTTATTTCTGGCCTGGTTTTGTCATTTTTAATTTCACTGACTTGACATGACACCGAGATCTTCACTGCTACCATGACCACAAATGAGAGATCACATCCTCACATCCTGGTCCCAGAGTGGAAAGTACAAAGGGAGTGAAAGCGATCAGTTGTTTTGGTTTTTTTTGGGTCTTTTTTGGGTTTCAGAAGCTAAGAAGTCATCCTGGAAGCAGTTGGTTTGGTGAAACAATTAGTGGGGGGAGGAGGGTTAGAGAGTGGGAATGCACAAAGCATAAATTGCCAGTAGAAGCAGGTGAGCCCCATTCACACCCCTCTGCTGAGTTGTACAGCAAAGCACGCTTAGGAGTAAGTTAGGCAGAATGGCATCATCTCTGCCTGTACAGGTCCATAGATTTTGCAAGACCAAAGAGTTAAAAACAGTTAGAGATTTTACAGAACTGCTGTTAAACAGGGACCTTGCTCCCGACGCTGTGGCCTTAGCAAAAATGACTGCAAAGCCCGAGGTGAGAGCAGGTTTGCGGAACCACCCCGTCTCAAAAATGCCTGCTGAAGCAGTGATTTATGAGGTTCCTCTCTAAGGAAACAACACATCAAATACAGCCAGATGTGTGAAATACCACCCCAGCCCTCAGTATCTTTTGCCATTTCTTTGCTCGCAGCAGAAGAAATAGATTTCATTTCCCAATGCCTTCAGTGGAGAGGCCCTGCTCCCCCGTGGAAGATGCAGTTTCCGGGAGTAGACAGCAATCAATACTCTGATTTATTCAGTTTTATTTATCAACTGCTCACCTGAAAGTTAAATGACAACACAGGCACCTGTTATCCAACATTACCAGCAGCTGGAACTTTACGAAATTTTCCCTGTGTAATAGCTAGTTTCTGACAGGTAAATAAAATTTCACCTTTGGGGGAAAGGCTAGCGAAAAGGCTAGGAAAGGCTTCTGGGGCGCAAAGCAAGAACAATACTAAAAAAGCCGTATGCAAAACACACTTACCATGTACATTGGTGAACCACACAACGTTGCTGCCATCATATTATTCTGCAGATACCGTGCAAACCCAAAGTCAGCTACAACGAGAAACGGAGAGGTAGGTCAGGATCAGACACCAGTTCTAGCGAGCCTGCACCTTCCCCAGCTGATTCCCCCTACTTTCCTTCCATTCCCCACGAATCTTCGCAGCAAGTGAAGTACCTCACCTTAACAAGACTCTGACAGCTCTCTTCGAGCAGTGACATCCTTGTGCTAGTTATTAATACACACTACACGCAGTAGCAAAGGATAGACCAAGCCACAAAAAGAAAAAAAAGAAAAGCATTCAGAAGAACAAACGCCCATCCATTTTCCAGAGATCAACAGTCACTTCTTCCTGCACCCATCTGCCCGCACTCTGAAATGTCAGCTGCTGGAAGCTGGTAAAGCTCTCCCGACTTCAGTGAGAGCATGCCAGTTCGTACTGGCTAGTTTATCTGCTGCTGTCTCAGCTTTTAGTATGGGGAACTGAAAGGTCCCCTCCATTGAAAAGGCTGCAATGTAACAGACATCCAAGAGCAGCCACTACTTGCCACCACCTACATTTCTAGACCAGCCCTACTGAGAACAGGCTTGCTCTGTTCCTTCAGACGAGTTTCAACAGTTCTAACCCCAGCGTGAAGGCAGAAAGCTGAGCCATAGTTCACCTGGCAGCTTTTAGAAAAGCCAAGGACAAGAAATACCAAGATGAACTACTGCTCCAGGTTACTCAGCATCTGATCATACGATACTTGAGAGGTTCTCTCAAGGTTACCAGATATTTCAAGCTCAGACTGACACAGCTGTTCACACTGTCATCTGTCACTACAGAATTGGTGCAGCTAGCTATTCCCTGGGTCATGTACTCCTCAGGGAAGCAGGACAGAGGGACTGCAGGGTACCTCACACTCAAGAGCCACCGTGCCTGCAGCCCTCCTGCCTGTGTCTGCATCTTCCAGTCACTTCCACCTACCAGAAAACTCTGCACTTCACAAAAAAAAATCCCCACTGCTTCATCCAAACAGGCAGCAACAGTCCAACTTTTACACTAGACCTCATTTCTCAGCTGAATAAAGGCATTAACACCTTCTCCACAGCACAGGGTTCAGGCATGGAACAGTTCTATCTAATCGGTGTCAGCTCCAGCTCCTGAACCGTAACATAATCAAAAGTCCACGTGTTGAGGGTGATATCATCCAGCACGCGCTTCTGAGGGACCACAGAGGACACACATGCTCTGTAACTGGATTTCTGGAGCACCTGTCCCAACTACTGCTCCATCCGCGCCACTTGCCTCATGTGCACACAGTGAATTTCTCCAAGCTGCAGCTGAGCAGCCTGCCTCTAACTTGGAGTGTGGAGACGCCTGCTTTCAGCTCTGCCTGGCTCCCGCCGTGCTCTGTGGCCAGCCAGGAGAGCAGCTACTTTCAGGCCTTAAGACACCAACATTTACCTCCATACTACCAAAAGCTGAAGACAAAAGTCACAACGTGTGCTCATTTCTTGGTAACCCTGGAGATTACAAGCCAATTAGGGCAGGCTGGTATTTGTTCCTACGCAGGGAGGCACCGGGGAGCACGGCCTGCCCAGCTCTTGTGTGTCAGTGTGTCCTGGCAGGGCAGCAAGCTGCTGCTCCCACCGCTTGGAGCCACCAACGGTTACGTCTAGCAGAGGAACTAAACGAGGAAGATGAAAAGCTGTAGGGTATTTCAGAAAGTGCAGCAATTTTTTGCCTTTGCTAGGCAGTCCCCCAAAGAAAGACTTGCCACTTATCCACATCACCAACCTCTCCTGGGAGCGCGTAGTGACGTTTCTAACGGGGTCTTACCGATCTTTATGCGAATGTTGTTGGGATTTGATTTCCGGCCTCCAGTATAGGAAAGGAGGATATTCTGTGGTTTCAGGTCCCGATGGATGATGCCTTTGCTGTGCAGCATTTTCATTGCACCCGCTATCTGCTGGAGAAAGAGCCTGATGGTGTCTTCGCTAAGTGTCCGCATGGCTAGGGAGGAGGAAAACAAATAACCAGATGAAAAAATTACAATGCCAGTTCTCTGCAGAGCCCAGAGGGCAGATTCACCACAGCAATTAGCCACAATTTGTCATTTTTATTTCATTTACAGTGTTTTTTCTCCACACACCATTTCTGAATGATTCCTACAGGCAACAAGGGAGAGTGTTTGCGTTCCCAGCTTACTCTGTGGTCAGGGCTCTTTTCAGCCCCGAGTGTCTCATGGTAACTTCATGCCAGTGGCCGGTGCTGCATTTGGGTTATCAACTGGGTCCAAAACTGACCTTTTGTCAGGCGTAGGGCTCCCCTCAGCAGGAGCTGCCAGCCAGATCTAGGCAAGCACTAGGCAGGTCTGGTGGCCCAAGGAGTGGGAAGGTCGCTACCTTTGAGCTGTGGTCGGTGGTGGTTGGATACCTAAGGTCACAGCTTTATCACAAAGACTATGTCTAAAGGTGGAGGTAAGAGGAAGGCAGGCAGGATTAGGATCCTAAAGCCTGTAAGAATCATTAAGGCTCATGCTGGGCCTGGAAAGGGTTGGTGGGTTAAATTCAGACAGTCAGGGTACATGGCCAGCAGCGATCTGCAACTTCGGGCTGCGAGCCCAAGCCTAGGACTAACCCTTGTGCATCATCACCCACTAGACCAAACCACAACTCTCATCCCAAACCCAGTGTCAGGCTGAACCACGGTCCAACACCTAACAACACACCCCTACCAACGGCACCTGCAAACTCATCTGACACCCTCCATCCTGCAATCACAGGTAGGAAAGAGCAGCGAGAACGTCTCAGAATACTTTCATGAGCAAATTTTTGTAAAAAAAAAATATTCATTATCAAAATCTGCAAATATGGAAGCTCTGAACAGCACTCTCCTGAGATATGGGCTTCCCAAGAACTGTGATGTGAAAATAAACATTGACGGGATCAAAATAATGTTCAACTTGCTCTTCTAATCAGAGCGATGCGACATTAGCGCTCGTTATTTTAAGAGAAACTCTTGCCAACGCTGGGAGCAGGCTGCTGAACAAACCCCACGATCAGCAGTGCGACCAGCCTGCCTCCTTGTCAGTCACCAAGCAAGCCAGGCTTAAAACAAGCACCATTCCACTTGAATAAAATAATTTCTTTTGTAAAAGGTCCCTGTAAATTACTTGGGACTTCATTAGTGTTTTTCCAGCTGTTCTCTGGTAAAACATTAATACGAGCTGGCAGGAGCTTCAAAATGCTACTCTACCTCGTCAGCGAGGAGGGAGGAATCCTTCTGAAAACACAGATGCGGCTGCACACAGCTTTAACACAACACAGGAAATTAAAAGTCTAACTTTCAAAACATGTGCATGGGAAACAGCAAGGGACACAGATAAATCAAACTGCACTTGGAACAGAAAAATCAGCTCCCACCACTCTCAAACCTCACTGTTCTAGAAGGAGGCACCAGCAGAGCTGAAATGTCACCACGGCTCTCAGCTGGTCCTGGACTCCTACACGTGACACCAGCGCACATGTACACAGAGCTGTCCCCCCTCCCTGGGCCTTTTTCCTCATGAGCCGGCACTCAGCTGGAATTCAAGAGACTCCTCTGCGAGAAGGGGAGATTCTGTGAAGGTATTTTAAGGATGTTCAGAGGCAGCTCAGACACAAGTCTCCTAAACTCACTCGCATCTTCTGAAAACAGCGCTGCCTCGCCTTTAACGAGGCTTTCCCCAAACTCCTGCTGCAGTCTCCCAGCGTAGTACCATGCTCTGCCTATTAGAAGTCCAGCATCTTAGCTGTGCTCAATGTCCTCTCCCCTAAAAGGTCTCCGCAATTCCTATTCAGGGAAATCTATCCAGGAATGGTTAAAACACCATCTTTAAACAACCCAGCAAGAATTCCAAAGTTTTTTGCCCAACTCAGCTCAGGCCCAGGAAAGGACAGACTTGTCTCATCTTTCCCCAAACATGAAGCAAGACTTGAAACTTGGCAGTTCTTAACATTAAGCTAGCAGGCAATTACAAACTCCTGGTTAAATACCCTCTGCTGCCAGCAATGAAACGGAGGTGTTGGGAGCCTTGTTCTGACCTGCAGTCCCAACAGCACGCCGCATCTCTAAGGCGTTGCCCTCTCCTTTGCATAATTTGGTGGCTCTAAGGCTAACACCGCACTAGCCACTACCCATCCCTCAGCGAACCAGCTAAGCCTCCCTAACGTGGATTCTAACTCTTTATACTGAAAACAACAACATTGCTACCAGGATCAGAAAAATCCATCCACCCAAAGAAAACAGGGCCTCTAAGCTACTAATTTCTACAGAATTTAAGCTTTTCCACTTCACAGCAGTCTGTACGAAGCTCTCAGCCCTGCGAAGATGCGGTTTTCCTGACACACGCAGAATCCAAGGTGGTGCCTTGCGCCTGCAGATTCCCCCAGTGCAGAGCTACCCTGTTGCAGGGCAGCAAAACGCGACAGAGGTCTGTCGGCTCCTCTGGCAGCGTTAAATCTCAGGAATCCAGGCAGTGCAGCAAGGCAGGATGGTAAAATTGAGATGCTGCCCTCAGTAACAGAAGGGACAGTCAGCTACTTCAGGAGAGCAGGGGCCATATCCTTTTGCCTCCCTCCATTAACGAACAGGCTGCAACACAGGAAAACAACAGTCCTTAGCTCTCGTACTCAGCCCATCACTATCCTGCGTGACAGCAGCAATCTTCACCTGAAGGACAGAGACATAAATACAACTGACACCTTCAGTGACTTCGGGATATTGGTCTACAAAAGATCTTCTAGACCAGCTACCATGGGCAGGAGGAGGGAGAAGATACAGAAGACTCTTTCAATTTAGATGCCACCAAAAACAAAAGAGGAAAAATAAAAGCACAGAGAACTAAGCAATTCCCTTTCTTTGCTACATCCCGAATACGGAACTTGCACTTCTGTCCCTGTGAAAAGGGGACATCTCTCCTCTTCACCAGAAAACTGCTCACAAAACACTAAGCTCACACTGAAGTCTGGGCATCCCCACGGAGGTCTGCGACCCGTGACACATTCTTGCAGAGAACGCTGTTTCCCAAGCCTTGCTTTGCCATTACTGAGAAGTAATACTATCCCCGTGTTTATTTTCATGGGCTCCACTTCAGCGACAAGGCACTCGGCTTACTGCCTTGGGAACGGCGGCCGCACAGGTCAGTAGATCAGAGCAAATATTTACTGTGGGTCAGTGCAGGACCCGCATGCCTTGTAACTCTTGAGGCGGAGAAAAGGATGAAACCACCCAAAAAGTGCCCTGGTCAGCCTGTGCCGAGATGTTCAAGCTGCCAAGAGGCTGCCAGGTAAGTTATAGTAAACAGCCCCTGTCAGCTGATCCCAGGGTAGACGCATTAGAGTACACCCGCCGATGTTACATGACAACACCATTTTGGAAAAGTTATTTAGGAAAAAGAACTTCTCCTCTTACCCACAGGTGCCACAAGTATCTCTAACATGGGCCCCATCCAAATCACACTGAAGTCTGAGAGATCAACCTGACTTATTTGGGGCCTGTCTTATAACTTCCTCAGCTCCACCCATGCAGAGCAGGGCCACTAAGACTCCTGAGAAGCCTTCTGTGCAAGTCTGAAGACTTATTCCAGATAGGTCTCGTCTTACCGTAGCTATTCTTCATCACCTAGCTGTAGAGGGTGAAAAGTTACACAGCAGCGCCTCACACCTCTTCTTTGCAAAGGGGTCCCCACACCACTCGGGATGAATTGGAAGATCACAGCTCCATGCATGAACAGTGGTCAAACCAAGGAATATCCTGCTCTGAGATGAAGTTTTCTTCACAGAGACGTGCTCCCCAAGAAGCAGCTTTAAGGAAGGTCACGAATATGCACTTATGAACTGCCTGTAACAGCCTGTGTCAATGCCAATGCACAGAACTTAAGAAGAAATTTCAGGTCAGCCTGCTCTGACCTGTGAGTACCCGAGGTCACCGAATTCCAGTTATTCCCATACCAAGGATGGTCACTTCTGTAGCACTTCCCACAGTCCTACCACGAGCAGCAGCAACCCGCCACTTCAGCTCCAAACATACCCTACGATGGGCTCTAAATTAAAGCAACATCCACGGAGATCTAACAGAAGGGAGAGCGCACTGTACCACTAAAGAACACCACAGAAGTTGTGCTTAGCAGAACACACACAACCTTGGGCTGTATCAGAGAGATGGGGCTGACCTGCAGCGTAACCCAGCCAAAACGTGCACATACACACGTCCTCCAGTTACGAAGACACGCAGAATTAGAGTGCCTTTGGATTCAGCACAGAATTACCATATTGCCCAACGCCTGTAATTAGAGGGCAGAATGGATTGGGAAGCTTACAAGCATCTCGTTCAATGAGGAACGGGGGATTTGCATGTGCAGCTTGCATAAGTGTTACAGGAACGACCAGCAAAAACGTCCGAGGAGTCAGCGGGAAAGTAGACCTTGCAATTAAATACCATCACACAATTACTAAAATAACTGAAGCAGCACAATAACCGCTCAACAGAGATTAGCCTCCTGCGTACCAGTGAAATACCCTGGAAGAAATCCGAATTTTCCAAGATGAGGAAAAAAAAATGATTGTTAGAAAACCCGCTATCATCAAAAGCACCCCAAGTGCCTGCAGAAGCTGGGAGAGAAGACACCGCAAAGGGGCGAGCATGTGGCAGAATGGGAAAAGCCACGCGACGCAAAAGCTCACGCTTGTATCTCGGATCTGGAAGACCCAGACCTCTGCCACCGTGACGGGAGTAATGAACTTCCTCGCTGCAGTCCCTTACTGGCTGCTGCCTCGGGAATCCTGTGCCTGCTGGGTTTTCTTTACTGGCAGCCAGCACACACATGTTAAGAATTAAAATACAAGCAAGCACCAATTTCCCAGTCACAACAGCTGCTCTTGACAGTTGTCAAGGTAGAATATTTTATTGGTAAAAACAGCGCTAAAGGTAACTTTTTCAAATTATCTCAGGGAAAAGAAGAATCAAACCTCACGCCCAGCAACACTCAAACCAAACTGGGGTAAAACTGAATTTTATTTGGAAAATAAAATCATCATCATTTGCTCAAACTAGCCACCGATTTCCCAAGCAGTCGCCTCTGATAAACATGTGAGTTAGCTGTATTAGTAGCCTAGCTAATTGCACAGTAGGCTTCACTGGTTTTTTTGGTGGGGTGGTGGGAGGGAGAAGATGACAGTGGACACACGGAAGCAGCAGTATGAACAGGAAGATTTTCTATAAATTATTCAGCCAGAAGCTGTGTTCTTGTTTACTTACACAGCTTTGCCAACAAGAGTGCTTAGCTCAGTGCTTTAACATCAGGGTTCATTTCACATCCATGAAAGCCAAAAACTTTGGCTTTCAAAGCCCTCACACTGGTAAAACTGAAGTTTGACTATTTTTTAAAAGCATTTCAGTATTAAAACTTGCACTTGTATTCAAGGGGAAAATCTAAGTATCAAATACAAAAGCATTTTCACTTGGCAGTCATACCAGAATTTCATCTCCACCAAAGATGCTCCTTTTAAGGCACAGCAATACCCAATAGATGCAGAACACCATGACTTTGATAAAACAAAGCACACCAAACCTGGATTTCAAACTACAAATGCCTGTCACTTCTATCACACCCACATTTTAAACAAACATAACACACGAAAGGCAGAATATTCCTTTATTTTCATCGAAGTACGAAATCCTTCGCAAAAAAACTGAAGTCCACAAACGTAATTCATTACCATGTATGAACAGAGCGCAACATATTAGCACCAAGCCCCAAATAATCATCCTAGGGATACCAACACTAGCTGTAGGGCAAATGTAAATTTAGCTTTTAATCCTTCAATTTTTGCCATTTCCAGGCATCATTTACCTCAAATAAGGAGCCCGAAGTATTATCCAGCTGACTAGCTTTGAATCAGAACAACGCGAACAAACTCTGTTTAACCACGACCCAGAGCCACACAAGAAATGAGATTACTAAATGTGAAGAGACAACTTTAATCTAGTTAACATGCAAAATAACAAGAAAGCTACTTTAAAGAAAAAAAATAATACAGGCAGGCCAACAGAAGTTCAGGGCTGTGTCTGACTGCAGCTAAGCAACTCACAGAATCACAGAATAGTAGGGGTTGGAAGGGACCTCTGTGGGTCATCTAGTGCAACCCTCCTGCCGAAGTAGGGTCACCTACAGCAGGCTGCACAGGACCTTGTCCAGGCGGGTCTTGAATATCTCCAGAGAAGGAGACTCCACAACCTCCCTGGACAGCCTGTGCCAGGGCTCCGTCACCCTCAGAGGGAAGAAGTTCTTCCTCATGTTCAGACGGAAAACTCGTTAAACATGTTATCCTCTTACCACTCAGGTGCAATGCGACTTCCACACAGGCCAGGATCCTGTACCTGTGCAGCGGGCTGCCCTGAAAAACAGCTTGGGAGGTGGAAGCCGGAGTCCCAGCAATACTGCTGGACAACATGCAAAGCACGTTTCATTCGGCTTGACGGCAAAGACACAGTCCAGTCTCACCAAAAGGTTCTCCAAGGCACAACAGTCGCAGATATCCGTGCTATACTCTCCAGAAGACCCTGGTAGTTTTGTAGCCAGTAGTGTTGAGGGTGACACTACAGTCACCCTTGATACACTGAAGTAGGAAACATGTTCTATCCCAGATGTGGGGACACCCTTAGGGGAAAAGTTCAAGAAAGTGAAACATACTGTTGGGATCTTATTTTAATCCAACCCTACAGGACTTCAGTATAAATAGCTTTTTTCCAGTGACCAAGAAAGAGACAAACCTTGCCCCTAGCAGTGTTAAAACATGTTTAATCTACAAGGCCATTGTAACTAAAATACCTAACTACTGACAACAGCCACCACTGACCTACATAGGAAAGACTACAAGACTAGCTGCTATTGTCATGGAGTCTCAGTTTTCAAAAGGTTATCAAGGCTGAACCTCTTAGAAGAGATGCAGTGACACTCTGTTTATTTTGCAGGAATTAAAAAAATGATATACTATCCACTTACTCAGATCTTCCACAAACCCCAGCAACTTTAATGAGCTAAAACAGTCAAAGACTTTCTTCTGAATACAGAGGATATTCTCCATATTGTTCTACTTACTGTGAAGATAGTCTGCCAGGTCACCCCCATTACAGTACTGCAAACAGAACAGAAAGCTCAGTAAATGCAAGGCAAATCCAAAATTAAAAAGAAAACCAGTATACTTCGCTAGGATGGCAGGCTTACCATAGCATTGAAACATAAATAATCATATGTCAAAACATGTACCCAGAAGTTGGCAGGTAAACCCCATTCCAGCAGGTCTCTCTTCTGTCCCATTTCCCCTACACCTTACGTTGCGTTGCGATACACCAGCATTAACTGGCTTTTGTGTGTGTGCACACCCATATAAACACACATCGGGGGGAAGATAAAACCAGAACAAAGCAGAAGGGTCACCACTGGAGACACCACCAGAAAGCTGGCTGAGGAAAGCCTGGGAGCAGCCACAGCTGAAAACTGAAATTCCCCACATCACGTTCCCTGTCATCAAGGAAAGTCAACAAGACCTCAGAAGGAAGACTACAGAGGAAATGAAACTGAAAAGCTTTGCAGCCAAGCTGTGCCAAGAAAATTTACTTTCCATGTATCTGAAGCAGATACTACCCAGTAACACCCATTTGACCCTTGAGATGAGAGGTCTGGCTGATTAAACCTCTGCCAGCACGACCTTCTGACAGCAGCAATGTGAAACCCCCCCCAGCCGCTGCCTTCACCCACACTGCTCCAGTTGTCAAAGGCACCCAGCTGCAGATTGGATTCACAAAAGCATCACAGGTGAGACTGTGAGCAGAAAGCACTACTTGTGTAACAAGCCCATCATACCAAGTTAAAAAAAAAAAAGAGAGAGAAAAAGGGGGAAAAAAAGGAGGAAATAATAAAAAGACACACTCACCTCCATAACCAAGTAGACAGAGTTTGCCAGTTCCTGGGGAAAGAGAAAAATTGAGAAATGCATTGAAATATTTCACACGCGTTATAGCTACTGCATTTCTTTTTAAACAGGTAAACTGTGCTCTGTATGATTCAGACTGAAGAGAGGGGAAAAACTATTACAGATTAATTCCTGGAGGACTGCTTGCTTTGAAACTGCCAGGTATTTAACCATTTTATTCCTTTCTCTGTGTGCACCTATTTAACCAAGCAAATCTCCTGTATCGTGGCTTAGGCCTTCATGCTCCTTTCAGGCTGCCCGGATTAACTGCGGCAACACAGATGCTGGCACGTCACTATCTTCGAGCCTTAATCATTTCCACATTTAACCTGGCCCTTTATAGCAGCTATGCCCACACGAGCAGCGCTGGTCCGAACAGAGAGATAAGGACATCACAACTCCGAGACCGGCAATTCAACCCCACGGCTGAGAAGTGCCCAAGAGATTCACCTCTGATTTGAGGGCAAAGGGAAGAGCTGGGGCCAAAAACGTGCTGTCGGCCACTCGATTTCCACACCTGCATTAACAGAGTGCTATTATCAGGTGGCTAAAGCTTGCCGGATTATCATGGGGGTCAACACCAGCAGAGTCCAGGCCAACTGCTCATCTTCCTGTTTGCTACAGCTGCTGCACTGTGATGCTCCTCAGAATCTTGAGAGGTTACCTCCAGCCTTAGCTGATCTTCTCCACTGGCTCCCTGGCCTTCGGAAGCCAGGACCAGGCTATCCATGGCACAAGCACAGGGTGCTGCGGAGGGGTGCCCCGCAAACACCCAGCTCCACGGAGCCGCGTTGGCAGCTCCAGTGGCTGCCCGGCACTCGCCCAGCAGAGCCCCAGCACAGCCAGATGTTTCAGCCTTGGGGAGACCCATAATGGTGAGCGACGCTCAACCTCCAGTTGAAACAGAAGTCAGACAGCAGCAGACCTACCACATAAAAGCCTGTCTGCTAGAGGTCACTCCTGAACTCGAGGCCCCAGTCCTGGAGAAGCGCAGGCAGCAATTACCTGGGCAAGCGGAAAAGCAATGAGAGCAGCAGCAGAGTAGGAGACTTCACTCCATTTCTATAGCTCCAGGGCAGCATGCCTTCTCTTTTACAGGCTGTTTAGACACCTGCCTGCCCGATGCATCTTCCAAGCCTGACTACAATTTCAAAAAGCCACAGCATCTACCCTACCAGCCTTTCAGTTTCCAAGCAGTCTCCACTGTCTGCTCTCAGCCCCTTTCATCTTGGGCTGCCCACAGGAGTCCACCTCCCATCAAGCCTGTACCAACCCGACTGCCTTTGCCAATGCTCCTCGGCACCTCCCATCATCTCTCTTGCACTCCTCTTTCAACCTCACAACATGAAATCTGAGTTTCCAGGTGCTTGCTGGAAGACTGGCTGGAGGGAGGAGGGGAGAGAGGAGGCTGCTGAACTTCCCACGGTTCGAGTGACTCCAGCTACTGCCGTGTGCAGCTGGGGCCACCTTCCCCGGCCGGGCACGAGGCTCCAGGCAGCTCCGCAGCCCCAGCTCATGTGGCTGCAGACCCTGGGGCTGGCCATCCCCGCCTCGTACAGCTGTGCCCACTGCCAAGCCCGGCTCAGATTTTTGAAAGTCTCCTTTATTGTCCAAAAAGCAAATTTTCTGTGACACTTCAAGCTGGCATTTGTTGCATTTCCTTGCATGATGAGTGCTGTTTTAAACAGGCCTTGTTTTCCAATCTCTGCACCTAAAAGCAGCACACATTAAGTCACCCACTTTCACACACGCTTCGGATGAAGTGGGAAACCAGTCTGCACCAGCCCAGAGAGGCAGCGGAAGAAGAAAGCCCCAGGCACTGTCACAAGCTTTGCACGCCACAAAGCGCTGGGGGAAAACTTTCAGAAGCGTTCGAAGCCCACCAGCTCCTGCTGTCCTTAGCAAGAACAGGGGAAAGTCAAGGTTTATGAAAGATGCCCCAGCGTTTCACCTCGAGAACTCCAGCCACCGATGCACCAGAGACAAGGACACGCCAGCAGCCTGGTGAGCAGCTCAGGGGACGATGCAGGGTTGCAGGCCACGGAGCTCACGGCAGGGCAACTGCCGGGCACGGAGGAAGCATCTGAAGCGGGTCTGCAGCCCACACCGAGTTTATCACTGCCACAGCAACATTTTTCACAGACATTCCATGTCTAAACATGCTGTGAACATTGCAGCTCAGTAACTCTACACATCAACACGTACAGTGCCAGCAGGGTTTGGGGAAGCTTAATATACCAATAACTATATAGAAAATGAAGAGGAAGGCTGGCTTACACAAACTAAGTCCAGAAGATACTTGAAACAAGTTCTTAGCCAATAGCTAGTGTACACTGTACAGTTTGGTTGTTTTTCCACTGTCTGTTATTTAAAGACTCTGCAAACAAACTTCATCAAGCAAGTCATCGATTTTTGGCAGCCAGTGTGTACCATGGCTAGGGTTAAACACAGACCTCCGCAGGGAAGGGAGATGCTCTGCTTGACTTCCCCAGCAACAAAGTGACCGTGGTGGTTTTACCCCACCAACCCAGGGTGAAGAGATAAAGAGTGCAATGCCCGACAGGCTTCTAGGAGAGAAACCAGTGGCTTCCCCATCCACCCACTGCAACAGCACGCTCGGAACTTCCGAGCCTTACTGGGAAGCACTCTCCATGCTGCTGCACGCTTACCCACCCCAGGAAAACGCTTGGCAAGCGTATGTTCAGGTCGCAGACGCCCGTAGCAGGGATGACAGCTTCCACATTTGCAACTTCACCATCTCAAGATCTACTTGCCAGAAAGAGATCTGTAGGAATTTTGCCAACAAAACTAAACATTTATTTCAGGAAGGGCCCCGGAAAGAAGCTCTTGTTTGGAAAAAGCCTTCAGCCAGCAGCTTACTGTGGTTACAACAGACACAACTGTCTAAAGAGACTTTTGGTTTCTCAAAGGGGCTGGTGGACTTTTCTCCAGCTGATTCAGCAGCAGAAACTATTTCTTTTCCATTTTTATCCTTCCACAGTATTTATGATTTTTTCAGTAACAAAACAAGGAAAAAACGCTGCAAGCCAAACTTTTCAGGCTGCCAGGCTCTCCAAAAAGAAACAGAATGCCCAACCCACTCATCTCCACATCAGTAACAAGAATATTATTACAGTTTGTTGTATTTCTGCAGAGGCTTATGTCCAAGAAGTGCGACAGGCAGTTTGCTCTGTACCTCTTACTCACATGTGCCAGTCTGTACAGCCAAGGCTAATCCTGTCACTAAACAAGCTCAACGAAGGGAACAGCACAGAGGCAAGCCCCTAACTTTTCCTCTCATCACAGAGTGCAGCAGTACCCTGACTGTGCTCCACAGCAACAGCAAAAGGCCTCTGCCAAAGACGTTAAGCTGATAATTAATCAGTCTGGATCACTGCCTGGCCCGTCGTTCTTGCAGCAGAGGCCCCAGCGATGAAGTTACAATTTAATTGAGTGTAAAAATAGGCAACAGCCTCTGCTGTCTACAAATAACACACATCTGCTGACAGAAGACAAAGAAATGAAGAAACTTCATTTAGCAGCACAGCATAAGTCACCCCAGAACAGTGCTGTGTTAAAATCCCTCACTGGGGCACTGGGAGGGATGGTGTTAGGGACACCAGGATCCAGCAGTCCTGTCTGCCTTTAAATTCTCTCTCCACCCATAGTGGAAGGTGGCATGATCCTCTTCTTGGAAAGTGTGTGTTTAGGTGTGTCCAAAGGGAAATGTCTGGGTTGTACCCACAGTTAGTCATCCTCCCACCACAGCTTAAAAAGTCTGCGAGAGGAAACTTCCTTAGAGAAACCCTCCCCTGCACTCTACCCCAGCGCTGAGCCTGCCACCAAGTTTAGAAAGATGTTTAGGAAGGGGAAGGAGTTGAAGTTTAATTACACAACCCTCCAAAACTCTCCTCACAACACAGTGTTCTCACCAATCTGTGCAGGACCAGCGCTGTAATCGACGCCGGGGTCAAAACCAGCAAAGAACAGCTTCCACCTCACACAAATCCTCTTTTCTAGAAGACTGGGGGACGCAGGAGGAACACTCGGGAGATGAACGTAGCTCCACTGTTAACACCCATGTGCTGAGCACCCGGGGCTGACAAGGCTCCTGCTGCCTACAGGAGAGGAGCCGTACAGACTCCAGTCCTCCAAACCAGTGTTGTCCCTCGCCTGAAGAGCAGCATACTGCTGCCTGCTTGCTGGCCTCCCTTCGATGGCAAAGGTTGCTGTTTGGTACCTCTCGGAAGATATCTGCTCAACTCTGCCTCCCAAATGGCACGTGGAGCAGCTGCCAGCAAAGATAATTGCTGCACACGGGTCTCTGTAAACGGGGCTGGGACACATCAATTGTACCAACACAGAGGCATAAAATAAAGCTGAGGGTCTGACAGCGCAAGATAAACTCGACACCAACTGAACGCTAAGCTTCTCCACTCTGCGGTTTGTTTTTGGTTCCCCCCCCCATGCTACTTCCCCGCCCCGCGGCAGCAGAACCACAGCCCACCGCATCCTCCTGCTTTGCCAGCAGGATCCCACCAAGCCAGCGCCCTTTTCACCTATGGCCTCTGGTCATTGCTCCTCTGACAGTGGCACTGGAGTCACCAACATGGGCTGTAACAAACACAGCTTTGCTTTGCAGAAGCCAGCTCCGAGGCCAACGGCACCTGGAAAGCCTCTAGCTAAGGCAGGGGCTCCCAAGCCATCCAGGCTCGGAAACAGAACCCGCCGTTCTCAAGACAGGGAAGAAACTTTCCAAACAGTAAAATCTCTGGGGTTTATTGCCCTCTGGCTTACAGCTTCGCTTGAGCAGGCTAACCTCTAAAGAGGGCAAGGAAAACCATCACGCTATGCAAGGATTATCTCCTGACGCAACTATTTGAACGGAAACGAGATAAAAGACAATAGTAACACCAATCTGAATTGTGGGAGCACCTGCTAATGTTCACCATTTGAAAAATAGATCTAAAGCAAATAGCTAGAAGATATTCACA